CACCCCAGTCAGCTCATTTGCAGAAGCTGCCAATGTGCGCGCGTGTCTGCGCGCGGGTGCGTGCGTGTTCCCACCGGGGCGGGGGGGTGGCAGCGGCTGCCCAGAGGCAGCGAGTCCCCGCAGGTCGCGCTCCCCGCCACTGCCACCGCGCGCTCAAAGTTTCGGCTGGCTGCCGGGGCTGGAGCTCGGCACCGCCCGCTGTTAATATATGCAGCAGTTGTTAGAGCGACTCCGGGGAAAAGGGAATGTATAACGAAAGCTTATTCGTGAGCAGGAATATACTAATGGAACAATCTGATGTCTTCTTAATCCTATGTAAAAAGCTTTGTCGTCTTCCTAATATTGACTGAATGGGTAATTAATGGCTCTTCATCTAGGCGAATACCCTGTAATCCAAAGATAGGCAAAAGACAACAAGCCCAGGATAGAAGACAAAAGGCCCAACTGCCAGCCACCAACCTCCTCCCGCCCCACCGGGGTCTCCAGAAGGGAAAGTTTGCGAGGGGAGGAAAGCAGGGCGGGAGCCCAAACCTACCTTTCCTGGGCTAGCTGAAGCACAGAGCCTGCCTCCTCACCTCTGTCTCTCCCCACCAGTCCGTTCTGCTTCTTTCTTCTGAACTCCTCTGGGGCAGCTGTCCCCAGTAGGCCCCTGGCCAGCGCCTTTTCCCCTAGCGCCCCCACTTTTCACTGAGGGCCGTGGGGGGGTCTAGCACAAGACCAACACAAGGGGTCCTCAGAAGACTGGAGTCAAGGAGCAAGCCCCTTTCTGGGGCCAGCGGACACTCCCGTTTTACAACCCGGGGCTCTGAGTCTGTGAGGACTACGGGGAGGGGAGACTTCACTAGCAGGGCAAGCACCCCAAATTGTGTTGAGTGTTAAAGAGCCATCAGGAGTGGCTGAGTCAACTTCACTGCGAGGAGCTGAGAGGGAGAGTACCCAAGATTCCCCCAGCATGTTTTAAACAGGCTGACAGTTTAATTTAAACCTTTAGAAGTAATATATTACTCGGGTTACTACAATGAGGTGGGTTCCCTTTTTTTTTT